CGCAGCACGGACACCCGGACGGGCCGCGCTTTGTTTAAGGGGCAGATGTCGCGGATCCTCGATCGGCATGATCCATGGACCTGGACTTCCTCACGGACCAGACGTCAGCAGGCCCGGGACCCCGGGGTGTGGGGCGCCTGTGCCTCATTTGGACCCTTCAGGCCCAAAAGCGAACTCAGGCGCCCGGGCCTGGCTCGCAGGGTCCGTCCGGCGAGCAGAGCTCCCTCCCTCGCGGTGGATGTGGCCGCGACACACAAATGCTGCTCAGAAACGTCCCTGAGCGAGAGGATGTCCCGGGAGAAGCAGTCGATGAGCCACACAAACACGCCGCTGGAAGGGGCGCTGTGTCCGGCTCCTGGGGCCCAGCCTGTCCTCCTGCCGCCCTGGTCAAAAACGGGGACGCGCGATGACGGCCCGTGGCATCACCGTCCACAGACCCGGGCCTCCTCCCGCGCCGTCCCCCCCATCACGCACCTCACCTCCTGCTCCCACAGCTGCCGTGACGGCCTTGAGTGTCTCCGCCGTTTCTCCGACTCGGACCTTCCCCCTTGAACGTCTCACAGGCTTCTCGTGTGTCCGAGTTGTGTCTTGTTCCTTACACACCTGCCATGGTGACCCTCATCCACTCCACGCTCAGATCTCCAGGGGACTTGGACCCCACGCTCCCTCGCAGGGCTCCCCTTGGGCCTCCCCTCTGTCCCCCCATCTCCTCTGTCCCCTCATCTCCTCTGTCCCCCCATCTCCTCTGTCCCCCCATCTCTCCTCTGTCCCCTCATCTCCTCTGTCCCGGCTGCGGCAGAGCTTGCTGGCCTCACAGGCAGCAGCCGCTTCCCTGGTCACTGGCCCCTGGTTCTGGCAGGCGTGTCCTGAGTGGTCATTCTCAAAACCATCCGACTGTGCAGCTCCCCCTGGAAGGCCTCCTGGGCCAGGCCCACAGCACAGGACGTGAGCAGCCCCTTCAGTCTGGCCCCAGCTGGCTGGCTCTGGTCTCCGGGCGGACATTTCTCCTGCCACCGCGAATCTCACCCCACCCTGTGTTTCCAGAACTCACCCTCGGCCTGCACAGGGCACCGCCACCCTCTCTCCTCAACCAGCTCTCCCAGCGTCATGGCGTCTGCAGCATCCAAACTCTAAAAGCCAATTGAACGGATGCATAACTGAGGTCAACAGCCCCACAGGCGGGCGATGACAGAAGCTGGCCTGGAGCGTGTCCCTTGGGTTCGTTATCATTCTTACACGGCCAGCTCAGCAGGCACCCCTCCTCTTGCCAGTCAGCCCAGGAGAACATCCAGGGATGGAGCAGTTTCAACCCCCCCCCCCATGGACATCTGCTGACACCCCAAGAAATGAATGAATGAATTCCGGACACCCAATATAATCGTCCTGAGACCTGCCTGCACCCGCACTCCCTTCCCCACCCGTCCTCTCCTGCCCCTTCTTTCTAAGCCCCTTGTAGTGGCCGCCCCCGGCGATTCTCCCTCCCCTTCTCTGAGCATCTCTTCTTCCTGCAGCTCCTCTGCCCCCGATGCTGGATCCTCCGCGTCCCCCGCTCCTGAAGTGTGCCCCATGGCCACTTTGGACTCGCTTTCCAGGACAGTCTACACTCCCTCCTCCACTGCAGTCAGACTGCTGTCCTCCCCAAGGCCCCTGGGACCTCTGGTTTATGGCCTCCTCGGACTTCGCCTGGGTCACCGGCCCATCACCACCCAAGGGGGCTGCAGTGGGGAGCCAGGGGCAGGGATGGAGCTGGGAGTGGGGCCCAGGGCTGCTTGGGGGTGTGTGTCAGAATGTGTCCCCCGACACCCCCGTGTTTGGAAGCACAAGAAACACTGGTGTCATCCTTTAAATATTGGTAGAATTCACCCCTAAGCTGTCTGGTCCTGGGCTTTTCTGTGTGTGTATGTGGAGCAGGGGAGGAAGGGGGCGGTTTAATCATCAACTCAACCTCCTCATTCACTAGTGTCCAGTTGCTATTTCTTTCTTTTTCTTAATATATTTTATTGATTTTTTACAGAGAGGAAGTGGGGGGGATAGAGAGTCAGAAATATCGATCAGCTGCCTCCTGCACGCCCCCCCCTGGGGATGTGCCCGCAACCAAGGTACATGCCCTTGACGGGAATCGAACCTGGGATCCTTGAGTCTGCAGGCCGGCGCTCTATCCACTGAGCCAAACCGGTCAGGGCGCTATTTCTTTTTAATATATATTTTTACTGATTTCAGAGAGAAGAGAAACATCAATGATGAGAGAATCAACTGGCTGCCTCCTGCACGCCCCCTGCTGGGGATCAAGCCCGAAATCTGGGCATGTGCCCTGACTGGCAATCGAACCCTGACCTCCTGGTTCATAGGTTGCTGCTCAACCAGAGCCACACTGACCGGGCCAGTTGCTCTTTCATCTTGGGTCACTTTGGGGTTTTTTGCATTTCTAGGAATTTGCTCAGCTAGGTTATGACTTATTGGCACACAGTTGCTCCTAGTGTTGTCATCCTCGCTTCTGTAAGGCTGTACTGAGTGTCCCCCCCCTTTTCATTTCTGATTTTTGTGATTTGTGCCTTCGGCTTAACTAAAGGTTTGCTCGTTCTGTTGCTTCTCAGAGGCCCTGGTGCTCCGTTCATGTTTCCCTGGTCTCTAGTTCACCCCCCTCTGCAGGGTCTGCATTAGCCTGCTCCCTCCAGGTCCTTCGGAGGTTAAGGGTATTGAGCCCACATTTTCATGCAGACATTTACAGCCATAGATTTCCCTCTAGCATCCCCTCGCACCTCATACACTTTGTCTCAGTCACTGTGATTTCTTCTTTGACCCTTTGGCTGTTAAGAGTTAATTTCCACGCATTTGTGAATTTTAGTTTCCCTCCCATTAGGCATCTAGCTCCATCCCACTGTGGTCAGAGAAGGTACTTTCTGTGATTTCAATCTGACATATTGGGACTTGTCTTGTGGCCTCCCATGTGGTCTGTTGGGGGAATGTGCTGCTGGGTGTGTTCCCAGTCTGGCTGGTTTGTGTGATGGTGTAATATTTGGTAACACATAGGAACACACTGAGGTGAAACCCAGGGAGCCACCACCCACTAGTGATCAGTCTTTGCTCTTCCTGACACCCCATCCCACCCCCAAGGGGAGCGGGTGAAGGAACCCCATGAAATGCACAGCTGGTGCTGAGCTGAGGGCACCTGCTGTACCCACACCCGCCCCTCTGCCCTGCACTTGGAGAGGAGCCCACGATGATGCCAGGGCTGTGGCCCATCCCACTGCCCTGCGCCCAGCAGTCACCGCTCAGGTCTGTCCCGCCTGCGGCCTGAGTAGCTTGCAGCCTCCTGCTCCCCTCCTGGCCTCGCCACATCCCCCAGGTGCGCGTGCAATGCAGGGGGCCGGGACCCTGCCTGCTTGTGCGCGTGCGCGGTGCGGGCTGCTGCTGAAAGC